CAGCAGTATCAGCATCACCTGGAAACTGATCAGAAATGCAGACTATAAAGCCCAAACCCAGACCGATAAAATCAAAATCTGCATTTCATATACACATTAAAACTTGCTAACCCTCACCTGTAGGATTTAATTCCACTCAGTGACAGAAGAAAAAATAATTCCTCTTTGAAGATCTGCCACTATTTAACCTTGGGGAAGGTCATAACCAAAATGTGACCTTCCTCATCTGTACAATGAAGGGTTGGAAATGGCCCCCACCTACTCTAAAATCCTGTTAGTCCGTAAGACGGCTGGAAGACTATTATAATTACAAGATATAGCACCTAAGCAAAAAAATCATAAATTATACTTATTCCTAAAACATATATATTTTAGGGAGAAACAGATTTCTAAGTGGATGCTAATTTTTTTCTTCATTAACCAACTAAAAGATTCCACAAACACTTAAACTTTTTAGTCAAAATTGTTACTTAGCCAATGATTATTTAAAACTTAATTAGATCTGAATAATCCTACAAAATTATAAAAATACCATACATATGTGTTAATACATATGTAGTTCTTTAGATTAGAAACGCAACTTTACAAAGTTATCCTGTATCAACTGATGAACGTAATCAAATTTGAGGATCAGGTTGGTGCTTCAATTGATATTTATCATGAACTTATTACCTCCTTTGGTGTTAGGATATTTGAGTTTTACAGAATACGGAAAGAAAAAAAAAAAAACACCTTTATGCACATCCTAGCTTTGCCACCACAATAATTTAAAAATATAAAAATAACAGAAGCTATAATTATTCCTGCACAAAACAAGCCTACATTTTCCTTCCTTCAACTAGTGCAGATAAGTTCTAAAGTAGTGCTTCCCAAACCTTAATGTGTATATGAATCACCTGCAAATCTTGTTAAAATGCAGATTCTGATTCAGAAGATGTGGGCAGGGGTCTGAATGCCACGTTCATACACAGAGAAAGTAGTAAGCTTCTAAAAAAGCCCCATAAATAACAGTATTTAGCCATGGTTTGCATCTTAATAAGCACTGGTTTCCAATTAAATTCCTAGTTGAGCAACTTCACATTTTCCCACCCTTATCTTACTTGATCCCGCCTATGAATGTGATACTTAATTACTCCATCATTCTTAAAACCTAGAAAATCTGTATCCTAATTTTCCTTCTACCTTTCTTTTTGATCTTTCCCACGTTCCTCATACTTACATGTGGGTGCATCACAGGATTCCATTCTTAGCTTCATCTCTTTTCCACTCTAATGCTGTGCCTGGATCACCTATATGCTAATGGATCCAACTGCTGCATTTCCAGCCTACATGTCTCCCCGTCTTAGATCCACATATTCAACTACCTAATAGATGTTTCTAACCTTTAGTCTTCACAGGCGCTTCCAACACAAAGTATTTCTAACTGAACTCTTCTTCATCAACACCTTCCACCCCTTGAAACCAGCTTTTTCAACCCTGTATTAACTTTGTGATCAGCACCACGATCTGCCCATTTGTCCAAACCATATTTTAAGACTCTATCCTTCTCCCTCACCAAACTGCAATTAATCCCATCTTCTAATTATTTCTCAAATTTCATTCCTTCCTCTCTAGTGTATCAGTTGTGACATGGATCATTTCTGACTTGGTTACCATAGTAACCTAACCAGTCTTCTTGCTTCCAATCTCATTTTCGTCCTCAATCTCATCCTTCACATTCCTATGTAATCTTGGCAAACATAACTTGATAGTACTCCCCTACTAAAATTCACCAATGATTTCCCCATTACCTTTAGGAAAAAGTACTAACTTTCTTTTGGCACATCATATAAAGCTCTTCACAATCTTGATTTTTTTCTCTTGTCTCAATTCCCACCACCCCTCAACAGTCAACATGTACTCTTGCCATGTCAGGCTAGCTGCAGCTCCCTGAAAGTACCACATTCTCTAATGCCTCTGTGTGTTTGCATAGGCTGTTTTTCCTTTGCTTAAAATGCCCTTATTAAGCTAAGTACTAATCTTCTTTTAAGACTCTACTCAAGCATCACATGTTTTAAACTGCCCTTTCTAATCACCTCAAGTCTGTTAGGTAACACCGCAAACTGTGCTCCCTCTATTACACGGCTTTCCCCATGCAGCATACTTCTATTCGAATACTTAGCAAATTGTATTATAATTGCTGGTCTATTCATCTCCTCCACCAGACTGAGCTCATCAATTAGTCCTTTTAGGAACAGAATGTCCAGAACATGGTTTGCTGAGGGGCACCGGGTAGCACAGTCGCTTAAGTGTCCCGCTCTTAGTTGTCGCTCAGTGTCCTGGTATCAGGCCCTGCATGGGGCTCCATGGAGTCGGCTTCAGACTCTCTTTCCCTCTTCCTCTGCCCCTCCCTGCTGCATGCTCACTAACTCATTCTCTCTCTCTCAAATAAATACATAAATCTTTAAAAAATAAATGAAAAATAAGTGTTTGCTAAATAAACTACCTTGAAATAATAGTCATGAATAATTATTATGGCTACATATTTAAACTATAAATAACTTCCAAAAACTGTCCAAGGTAACAAAAGTTTCTTCAGTTTGTTTACAGGCTTAACAGAACTTTAAAAGACTTCATTAAACAAAGAAGTCCAAAATATTTAAGGTATTCACTTAATTCCCAACAATCTAAAAGTATTTGTTAAAAATTAATAGCCTTCTCAATACTGTGTTAAACTAAGATTATTTTAATTTCACTAATGACAGTGTTAGACAAATAAAAGCACTGGTCTCTTTTCCAATGGCTGAAGTCAAGAAGTATGGTAAAATGACAGGCATATTGTTCAGGTGGCCTAGGTTAGCACCGTGACTTCCTACTTACTAGCTACATGAACTTGGATAACAATGAACATCTCCAGGCTTCAGTTCCTTCAAAGGAAAACAGAGATAAAATTGCTTACCTACACCATAGGTTGTTTCAAATATTCAGTTATGAATGTGAAAATATTTCTATAAACCATGAACTGCTAAATAAATGTCAACTATTGTCTTAGCTTCCATACTAACATCTGCCAAATACTTGACAGGTGCAAATTTAAAGTTTCACGGACTACTTCAACCTCCATACCCACCCCATACTTCTCCTCCAACGACTGAAAATTCATAAATAAAATTAAGTTCTAGGATTACCACAGCACAAGACTTAGTCAGTAGTCCTCAATATTCTTATCTGGTTGAAGGCATAAAGATATCTAATTTAATAATAATCTCAGATGTTCTTAAGAAGAGGTTTTTTTATAAATCTCAAAGTAAATCTCAAGGTAAGTTGTTGGTACAGTCATTTAAATTTCAGCTCCATTTTAAAAAATTAATTGGAGGACAAAAATCAGCAGGGAATATTTAGAGATACCTTCTTTTATCAACTATTTAGTTTGGGTACTATGGACAAATAAGCTTGATCTACTATAGACTAACTAACATGAAAGTTAAAAAGCCACCACTATAAAACCAAGACTTTTTTTCACCCGTATTTCTGGCTTATTTCTCAGATATGCTTGTTGGTCTATCAATCAGAAGAGAAAATTTGCTGCATTTTCTAAATGAAAAAAGTGATGAAGCATGTTAATTCTGCTCTCAGCAATATCCTTCTTTCTTAAATGGGGACTTACGGGGATTATGGCCTATATCAGGAAAACTGTTTTCTGTCCCTTCTCTGCAATATTTATAAAAATAGGATTCTTAACCTTCAAAGGGCAAAACTCCTTAAAAAAAGAAAAAAAAAAGTAAAAGAAAAAAGAAAATCTACTACAAAAGTCAGCACTTCGGTACCTGATTGTGGTAACAAGGCCAAAATCCAAGACGAAGCCCTTTATTGCACATCGTGTTCCAACGTCTTGGGCAGCCCCATCTTGCGACCTCTCCAGATTGGCTGCTCCTGTTCTCTCTACTGCAGAGAGAACTTCAATTAGAGAAATTCTGAAGCTCATGAATCTAAACTGGATACTCCCCTCACTGGAGGCAAGGATGGCAAGAATCATTAAAAAGACTCAAGTTAGAGGAGGTTTCAAATAAATCCAAGTGGCCTGAAACCACTATAATGCAGGCAGCTGAGAGTCTTATTATGCAACAGTCTATTTACCTAAAAAAAAAAAAAAATCTTAAGGAAAAGAATGGCAGCAAATTATTAGATAACCTGAAAAAACAGGTTATATAATCATAAATCTCTAAAAAGTAAAATATTCTCCACTAAACTTGTGTTGAATTTATATCTATGATACCAACTTACAGCTGACCATTCATGTTTATAATCCTTATGAGAAAAGGAAGTAAGAAAATAACTAGGACATGTTATTAACTTCTTTCTGTGCCCTAAAATAACTCACTGAAAAAATGTCTGGTCAAAAACCAGTGGTTAGGAAGGAGAGATTTCCCTGCTGACTTAAGCCTAGCTGCCCAAGCAAGGCTTTAGAAAAGGTCTTCACCTACAACAGTGCATAGGCAGAAGGAGCAGAGGCTATGGCGGTCTTCCTAGTGACACTTCCAAGTCACGTAAATGGGGTATGTTTCTGGGATAGACTGCCAACAAGTTACTGAAAGAAACAAAGCCAGCAAAAACCTGGCAACTAAATAGGCCAATGCCCTCGTGTGTTTATTATGACGGAAGTAGTCTTAGCTAAAGTTACCTTGATGCTACCAGATCGAAATCACATCCTCTATACTAACAGTACCTGATTTCTGAAAGACTGGATTCGTTTTCAAGCTGGTTTTCTATAAAGACTTGTAATGATGTATAACATGTATAAAGTATTTAAGTATTTCTTAGACCAAGCAAGTAACAAGCTACATCCCAAAGAACCAGCAATTAAGATTTTTCAATTAGAGCAATAAACTAACGATCTGAATCACCTTTACCACCATGAATTTTTATCAAAACTGTGCTGGTATGTGCAAATGAAAGAGAGTGAGGTTAATACTGTCAAGAAACTGTATTTACTAAACAATTTAACAATGATTTTATCTTACCTGAGAGTGAAAATTTGAAATGGTGGTTGTTTCGATATCTTTCTTGCCCAGAATCTCCATTTTCACAGGAGTGTTGGGGAAATTAAAAGCAAAGTAGTCCAAGAAGTCTGGGAGATAAGCAGCCGCTCCATGCACTATTGCTAAAGCATAGTAAGCAGCATTTTTCTCATTTTCACTGAATGTCAAAGCAAGAAACTCCTCAGAAAATCTCTCCATCTCCATTGGAGACAAAAATGAGAGTTCATCCATGTAAGCATGAAGGACAAGTGCACCACCATTGGACTGGTGTTCCTCATGAATAAAGTTGCTAAATTTAGTACCTGTTTTTAAGAAATTTCTACGAATAGAATGTTCCTGGTGAGTCATAAAAGGTGTTTGTACTCCCTGGGGTACCCGATATTCTTGCATGCCCAAATTTAATCGGCACAGCTGTTCATCTTTCAGATACCTGAAGGACTCCTTATTAACTCCTGAAGTGCTATTTATTTGTCCTTGGGTGAGGATTTCCTTACTGATGCGGGTCAGGCCAGCACAGACGGTTTGTACTTCCTTATTGTACATTTTAAGGCGTCTTCCTCGCATATCTTCTCGGTGTTTCTTTTTCTTTTTCTTCTTTATTTTCTTCAAGACAAAATCATCAGCTCTCTGGGTTTTACCATTTTCATCTGGTGTTTCTGGCCACAATAATTAAAAAGAAGTTAGTTGCTAGGCCTAGTGTCAACATATAAACTTCCTACGGTATTTGATCTCAAATTAAATGGCCTATTCTCAGTTTCTCTGAATTTGCCATGACAACTTACACGTTTATAAAATGAGACAAAGATCTTAAAATATGGTAATATTCAAGGTTGAAAACTATGCTAAAAAGTAGACAATGGATATGTAAGCATATAATTTAATACGACTTGCAACAAAAAGGAAAGGAAATATCCACGTAATTTCACATCTGCCATACTGTATGGAATATCTCTTCAGTAACCACTGTAAATCTAAACTGAAGCTTGTCATATTTTGCTATGATACATACAGGTAAATCAAACAAAGGCAAAGTAAGCTGTAAGACACCATTTTGCCTACCAAATTGGATTGACTTTTCTTTTTTTGGCATTCTCACATACTGTTGTTGGAAGTATAAATTGGTACAAATTCCGTGGAGGACAATTTGGCACCCACCAAAATGGATATGTACACCAAAAGCCTTGTAGATATTTGTAATTATCAGACCCAGAAATTCCACTCCCAAGTAAAAATTACCTAAGAAAATAACTGAAGATACACAAAAATATCCATGACAGTTATTTAGGGACTCCCCCCCTTAAAGGTCTATCCTAAGTAACAGGATGTTGATTAAACTCTGTTACTTACATACTGACAAAATACTACCCAGCCATTACAGGTTATATTACAAATGAAAAGAACTGATGAATTACAAGGTTATAGAATGCTTACATTGCCAATCTTCCAGGAAGCATTCTCTAACAAGTCATCCCTACCCAGTTTGGATAGCTATTCCTACCCTGTGCTTCCTTAGCACTGTACTTCCCCTTCCCCTATCACAGAACTTACCATATTCTATGTTATCACATATCTAATTCTCTACCTCTCCTCTAGACTGTAAGCAATCTAAGGTCAGAAATATATGTCTTACCTTTCTTTCCAAGGCATCTAATGTGTATATACTCTGATCCCATGTTTATAATATTAAACAAACATTTACTAAGTACCCACTAAGTGCCAGGGACATTTCTGGGCACTAGGGGGATAGGGTGCTAAGACAGACATAATTCCCATTCTCTTGGACTTTACAATCTAGTTTGCCAAGAAAAACAAAATATCAGTAAGCTACTCTAGATGCTGAGGAAACTTCCCTTTGGGAGGTAACATTTAGGCTGATTCCTAAATAATAAGACAAGCCAGGCATGTTTTCTAGGGAAAAATATTCCAGGGAGAAGCAAAGGACCTATAGAGAGGAAAAAGTCTGACTGATCTACATATGTATTGTACATATATTACACAGAAAAGTACCTGAAGAAATACACATCAAAGTGTTAATGGTAGTTATCTAGGCTGGTAGGATTATAAATATCTAGATGTTTTTTTTGCTTATCTGTATTTTCTAATTTTCTACAATAAACACATACTACATCTATAATTAAAAATTTATTTTGAATTTTTAAGAGATTATCACAGATTGACAAACCCAAAATAGAACAGCATCGTTCATTTACCAGTTTGAAAATATATCTAGCAAGAAATCTTTAGGATTAGGGCGCCTGGGTGGCTCAGTTGGTTAGGTGACTGCTTTCGGTTCAGGTCATGATCCTGGAGTCCCGGGATCGAGTCCCGCATCGGGCTCCCTGCTCAGCAGGGAGTCTGCTTCTCCCTCTGACCCTCCTCCCTCTCACGCTCTCTCTCATTCTCTCTCTCTCAAATAAATAAATAAAATCTTAAAAAAAAAAAAAATCTTTAGGATTAAGTATCAGGTATAGTCCTGACCAACCTTTCAAGTTCGATCTGGTATTTACTATATAGGATTTGTCCACCCAGCAATAGAATTTTTTTTTTTAAGATTTTTTATTTATTCATTTGAGACAGAGAGAGAGAGAGCATGAGCAGGGGGAGAGGCAGAGGGAGAGGGAGAAACAGACTCCCCGCTGAGCAGGGAGCCCGATGTAGGGCTCGATCCCAGGACCCTGGGATCATGACCTGAGCCGAAGGCAGATGCTTAACCATCTGAGCCACCCAGGTGCCCCCCAACAATAGAATTTCTGACATGATTCAAGTAATTCAGTGTTAAGACAGATACTCCAATTGATCCTATGACTACAGCTGGGAAGAACAAATTCAATAAAATTTACAGTAAATAATTTACTTGGTATAATATGCAAATATGACAGTTGCAGTACTCTATACAAAATCATTCCAAATCACCAAATATTGCAAGTTACGAAAAACTTCTAAAGAAAATATTTAAAAGTCTAAGTCAGAGGGCGCCTGGGTGGCTCAGTTGGTTAAGCGACTGCCTTCGGCTCAGGTCATGATCCTGGAGTCCCAGGATCGAGTCCCGCATCGGGCTCCCTGCTCCGCAGGGAATCTGCTTCTCCCTCTGACCCTCCTCCCTCTCATGTTCTCTGTCTCTCATTCTCTCTCTCTCAAATAAATAAATAAAATCTTAAAAAAAAAAAAAAAGTCTAAGTCAGAGACTTTAAAGTGTATAGATACCAAATGACTTTCATTCTGTTTAATATCTGTTTTTAAACAAAAAGAAAACCCTTCATTTGCAAACATCACTTATAATTAAACTGAGATAATATAGCAAAATATACATGTAATCAGACTGCTTAAATTGGCAAGACAGAAAAAGCAGTCCATCTTTTATTCTGTATACACCTAAATCTTTGAGATTTTGTTAAAACACTTATAGTAATAGTCATTTATATTTCTTACCAAATAAAATTAATCTAAATGCTTTTCCCACATTAAAAATCGGTAATTTAGGCAATTCTCCCAAGCAACTAAATGTTAATGCCATTAAATACAAAGGTTAGTCCAATTTTAAAAAAGTCATCTAATTACCCTCTGCTAAATGTTTTAGCAATTTCACAGAGAAAAAAAGAAAGAAAGAAAAGAAACTATCTCTGAATAGATCTGTTATTTTAAGCTTCAGAGGAGGTATTTGGTATGCAGAAGATGAATTGTGACCTAGATCTGCCACTGAAATTAACACCACCAAGGAGCTGCCTTGATTGTAACACATTTTCTATATTACTATCAACTTACCAATGGTTTTTCTAACATGGCCAAGTCTCTGTGGGTTTTATTCCAAACTCATTTATATGAGAACCACTCAAATCATCGAACACTGGCCCATCAAAGAAAACATCGTACAAGGAAATGAAAAGGACCTTAAATTGATTGTAATCTCATATTTCAACATGATAAAAGTTTAAAATATGAAATAAATGTCAATCTATCTCATTAATCCTGTTTTTCAAATTTTGATTCTTAACTAAGGCTGAATATAGAAAGCTCACCTTTGTTTACAGAGAAATTTTAGACTACTTGTGTCATACCAGCTAATGAATTTCAATGAATAAACAAAATTTACCTCTGAATTACTGTGATGACAACTAATTGAAAATGGCATACATATACAAAGTTGTTAAAGGTTATTACAGTAAGTTAGCCCTGTTGCACTATGAGAATATCAAGGTTGCCTTGCCTTGAATTAAAAACACTAATTAGAAGTCAATGTCTTTGCAATATAAATGTATCAAATCAGTATGCTGTACACCTTACACAATGTTATATGTCAATTATATCTCAAAAAAACAAAAAAAAACAATGTCTAAAGTTTTCACAATCTTTCCATTCCTGGTTGACTTAGCTTTCCAACAGAGAACATATTCAGGAAGTAACATTTTGAGTATTTCCCTACAGCGCAAAAGCTAAAATTTATTGACATCAGTTCTTTTACAGAAAAAAAGCCAAACCACTCTATTATCTGTGATTAAGGAAAGCTTTCACATATCAAACTGTGAGAGGAAACATAAAGAGAAGTATGTAAGTCTACAGAGGAAGATACATTTATCTGAGAAACAAATTGCTGTCTTAAAAAAAAAGGGTCATTCTAACTGTAACTAAATTAATGCATGACACTATCAATAAAATCCTCATAAGAGTCTGTGTCCATTGAGTCATGAATGGATAAAGAAAATGTGGTATATGTATACACACGCACGCGCACGCACACCATGGAATATTACTCAGCCATCAAAAAGAATGAAATTTTGCCACTTGCAACTACGGATGGAGCCAGAGTGTATTATGCCAAGTGAAGTAAATCAATCAGGGAAAGACAAATACCGTATGATTTCATTCATGTGCGGAATTTAGGAAAACAAAAGAGATGAACATTTGGGAAGGGGAAAAAAAAGAGAGAGAAGGAAGCAAACCATAAGAGACTTAATGACAGAGAACAAACTGAGGTTTGAGGGAGGGAAATGGGTGGGGGATGGGCTAAATGGGTGATGGGTATTAAGGAGGGTACTTGTGATGAGCACTGGGTGTTCTATGTAAGTGATGAATCACTAAATTCTACACCCGAAACTAAAATAAAATAAAATCCTCATATGTGCTAATATTATCAACTATCAAATAGCATCATTTATTTATGTCACTATTGAAAGTTCTCATTAATGCAAAAAAATTAGCTTTTTCTATCACAAAACTTAAATTCATATCACCATTCTCACACTTGAATCATAACTTAGAACTGAAAGAAATGTAATACCCCCAATTCTTAAAAATCATGGTGGATACACATTTTCAAAGCAAGTACAATGTTTTATATTTTATTAATCATAATAAAGAGAAGGGCTAAAGTTGCTTCCTGAAAATAAATTTTTTAGACTTACTGGGTATCTTTCCCGTCCCATATAAAAACCTGACTAAAAAGGTCACTGTATGTTTATAACACTACCTTACTTTACCCCTCATCCCTCCATATCATGGTGTTTAAGAGTGGTTGGCTGAATTCGAATCCCTGTCCTTGTACTTCCTCCCAGAATATTACCTTCTGCAACTTAATTTCTTTGTACCTTGTTCCTCACTGGTAAAATGGGGGAAAGTTAACAGCACCTCCTCATAAAATCAGTGAGCAGAGTAAATGAAA